GGGACAAACGTCTTTTCAATGTCAGAGGGCATCACTATTTAAAGATCAAAAACCAATAGCAAACTTAAATTTAAAATGTAAAATATATTGAATGACACAGGACACAAAAGTCAAACCTATATTCACAAGTGAGTTGTAATTAGGAATCATCAAATTGTCTATGCGAATAACTGGTATAGTGAAGTTAACCAGTGTTATGTAAATGACATTTCGAGTACGAGAGAAATCTGAAAACCCAATGACCCAGAGACTGGGCGGATAAAGTGCGTCAGTTCGGAAATATCGGTTTTTCATTTGTCATTATTTATAAAAGAAATTTACTCCTGACTGTAACCTTATCAATGCTTTCATCGTATGGTCGTATATAAGGTGCATATTGCAACTTATCGTCTCAATTGAAGTTGAAACGACCCTGCTCGACTTCAAAGCATCTACAAGTGTTCTTATTAACTCATTACAAGTCTATATGTTTTCTTGTAAAATAAAACCTGTCGTGTACGAGGCACTCGTGATTAACACTGAAAAGCTCTTCTATACACAAGACTCAATGCATTGATATATGTTATGAAACTGGGGTCTTTTTCGCAATCAGCTAATTGTATGATTCTACAGAAATGATTTAATAAGACCACCCAGTTTGATTAGTTTACCATATACGCATGTACTTGTAAAACTCCGCAACTTGTTGCTATCAAGATGTCTGTCTCCCTCCCTGCACCGATGAGAAAAACAGGGTTTTTTTCTCAATATGTGTCTCCAACCCCCACCTAACTATGTACACTAAAGAATCAGTTTCCATTCCAAATAAGTTTCGGTGGGTTCTACCAATTTATGAATTGGTTTATGTATGGCACAAAATGTCCTTGGTCATTAATTTTGATAGTGTCTTGATTATTGGGATGACACGTGACTTACGACCTTCTGTCGCCATTTTGACAGTGTCACAAAGTTAACAGTACAAATCATCCTTGCTGAACCTTTAAATGTCGCCTTTCTTTTAATTTGTTCAATAATAAAGCAGAAGTTAAAAAAATGGCACTGAACGTAATAAAACATAGCAGAATAAAATGCCGATTGAGGTAAAAGTGTTTTTACGTAAATTATATGGTTAAAAGGTCCAGGATGTGAGAATGTACTTTTCAAACACACCTACATGAATGCATCTTTTGTGGTGTCCACTGTATTCATTTTCAACTTAGCTTACTTACTTTACCATTACTTATATGAAGCTTTACAACTCATAAGTATAAACAGTTCAAAAAGAACAATCATCTTATATTGAGAAAAAGTAAATCAATATAAAAATTGTTCATACTCGAAATTGAAAGTGCTTATATTAAGCTTACTTCTACTACAGGTAAAAGGAAAAGGCGATTCAAGCCGCACTGTATGTACATGAAATAAACAGTCATTAACGAAATCATGAAAGAATTAGTAAATACGTTCAAAATTATATCAATATTATATCTTCACATCCTGAACTTAAATCAACCTTTTCTACACACCTGTAACCTAACAAAAATGATTTCTTAATTATTTCCCCTTAAGTATTTGATGTAGTGATGTTTTATTAAATCCATCCGTTTTTCGTCTTGCGTCTTGTTTTACAATAACATATGTATGTCTTTCATGCCATGGTTTGCTGTGTCTCAGATTGTTGGAAGACACCCGAGGGATACCGAAAACATCTGATCGCAAACCTGCATTCCTTTTTTTTCGCATTTTTTGTTGCCGGATGAAATAGTGTTTTGATCTTTTAATTGTCCTTGATTACACATCAATCTCCCACGAAGAAATACATTTATCTGGCAGGTGCGCGTCATTTTGGATGGAAAAAACGACAAGTGGATCCTCCAATACATAAATCCGATCTCAAACTTTTGTATAACCCCACGATTCACGTTACAAACAATAAGATGATTCGGGTAATTTGTACACATAGAATAAAGACGTATTTGCAGAAGTGAAGAACTCTGAAGTTATTGATTGTGTGAGGCCACCCCGGAGAAGTGTGTAATAAATGAGTACTGAACACCCGGAAAATGGCTTCCTTCATCTTCTGTTATTGCAGTGTTGTTTGATGTAATTGTAAAATATGTAACAATAACCTAATAAATCTACATTTAACGGGTACAGAATTCCGACAGCTTAAATCTATATCATAATAAGCACATTCCTCGACGTACAAAGACCCGCAAGATAAAAAACATTAGTTTTTTTTTTTTTCAAATAAACCATATATTCGATGCAAAAATCAATTAACTTGAAAATATACTTCCTCGTGCAAAAGCCTTGTGTAAATGCTAAAGGGATTTTCTCTCCAGATAAAATATCTCATTCAAACATCAACAGAATAAAACTTAATTCATACTCTGGAATGCATGTAAATGTACGTAAATACATATTTTCAGGGAGCGGAGCATTTACAAGATAACGTTCACATTATTAATGCAACTCTTGGGTACAATGGTCGCCACCAAAATAATCAATAAGTATAAGAGAAATAAGACTGATACACTGAAATATGTGATAAATACAATTTAAAAGAGACACCTTTTGAGAAATTAGAATTTACAATTTGTCTATTTATTATAATATTTTATATAAATGAAATCTTGAATAATTAAAGAGCGGCATTCTAAAGACACCTCTTGCAGATTAATATTAGTGTAATAATTGAAAAAGTACGTTTATTTCCTGGAGGAAACAGTATCAAGGATAATTTTAACCTTCGAAAAATGCACTGAAAAATCCTCGAGACATTGATATCCTCTGAAAATATGATGAAAATAATTCGATACATTAGATGTATGAAATTATGCTTGACTCTGCACCTAGCCTTAATACAACTCGGGTTTATTTCGGTACTATGGAGATAAGATTCATTGAAATGTGGTCAGAATATGTGATTAAAAAATAAAGAGGTCACCATCAATTTGTTTCCATCATTTATTGGTAAACAGCAATTTAGATTTTCTCAGCTAGACCTACCCATCCCTCTTTGCCTTTGATAATCAGATTACTCTGGAAAAAAAAAACGTTAATAAATTGAAGATAAATATTCAAAAGTCTTAAATCTTAAGGGAAAAATTGTTTAATAAATATCTAATTAGGTCATCTTAAAAATATAATGTTTGCTTGTCCTCCCCCGACTCAAGGTAAATTTATTGGGTCGGTAAGTAGGTGGGAAAATCTTTTTTCCCTTAAAATTTCAACACATTTACTGACGGGACGTCGATATGAGGATTAAAAGAAAAAAAATACCGTGTCCTGGAATAAAAAAAAAAGTTTTGAGCCGGGGCATTTTGAGTCAGTCGGTCGGGAGAGGGTAACCAAACAATTTTTTAAAGATGGTCTTATTGGTCATTTTTTTAAGGGGAGGGGGTGTCATGTATTATTTTTTAAATATAATAGTTACATGTAACATTATCACTTGTTGGTAAATAAGAATTTATTTTGTCAAAACAAATATATGTGTATCCATATTACTATTTGCCAAAGTTTTATAAACAAAGCTTCTATCATGAGCGAGGTCTGAGGAGAGAAGAAAACACTTGCTGTGATCTTCAACTTTCAGATAAATGTATATCGAAAACGTTTTTTTTTTTTAAATTATAATAACTATTTCAATTTATACGCTGACTTGATTCATCCCTGTGAAATTTAAATAAAATACACTACTGAGTCTGACACAGGATCGATGTTTTACTGATTACAGATGATAAAGACAAACTGTGGCTTACAAACATATTGTTTGACAAATGAGATGATTTCAGCTTTTCCTTCGTAAACTTTCCTTATTATGCAGCGATATTTTGCTCTCGCCTGTATATATACATGTATGGTGTTTATGTCTCCCAATTACTTGTTCGCTATTCGAGAGCATGCTCGGAGTAAAAAAAAAACGATACAGACTACTCACACATAAGTTGATGTTACGAGGATTTCAACAACATCCTTTATTTGAAAGTCAGCATTTCATAAACTGTATGCCCGTTATAATGGACCGTATTAGCAAACTTAACCTATCACTAAGTCGTATTGTGGCTGTCTTGCTGGACATACCCGGAATATATTGTTATATACCTTTATTTTGTACTTGGTTTGATTACGGAAACAAGATTACGGATTGTTTCGTCTACTCGATCAATACATAGGGTGAATAGGGAGTGTCAACGGTCAGCGGGGGTGTATGCTTCTGATCCCACCTCTGGAATTGTCAAGGGTCCGAGTTTGCCCTTTTACAGATTTACGGTTTATGTATCGCTAGTCGTTATTTTTACTTTTTCATTTACTTAATATCTGTTTCCCCGTAGACCGTGTATCGCCTAATACAGTCGATCTAACGTTACCCCTCAAACACCGTCTGTGCCATTTCATACACAAATGCAGTTTTTGATTAGACACAGGCACGTAGCATCGTTTTTGAAAGTGGGGTGGGGGGGGGGCAGAGAAAAATTTTTTTACGTACCTGTAAAAGTTGACAAGCATAAAAAAAAATTGCACAATCTCCAAAATCCTAATTTCAAGGGGGGGAGAGCTACTTTAACAACAATTATGCCAGGACTTTTTTTTGCTTACAGTACTACATTTGTCAACATCACTTTACTGTGGTAACAGTTTGAAAAGTGGAGAAATAAGGGGGGAAACCAACCTGTTCAAATAACATTTACAATAGTAAAGGTAGTGTTGGATCGCCTAATACAGTTGATCTCTACCCCTCAAACACCGTCTGTGCCATTTCATACACAAATGCATGTAGTTTTTGATTAGACATTTCCAGGAGTTTCACCACCACAAATATTTATACACCAGCCTTATGAGCCTTATGATTTGAAATAGGATATCTATCTTTTTATTTAAATTTAACCACAATTTTCTCTTTGATGTTCCTTTCACTAACTCAGGTGAGCTAAAAAGAAAAACAGAAAGAAAAGAAAAAAGATCCGGAAAATAGTAGACTCGCGGCTTACTCGTCTAATACAATAACTTCCAAGTTTCCGGTATATACACATTGCATCATGGAAGAAAACGATGTAAACCGGTCTGAAATCCAAGAACAAATTAAGGCACAAGGAGAGATAGTCAGAAAACTTAAAACAGAGAAAGCTGACAAAGATAAGGTATGTACTGGGAAAAAATAATCAGGAATGAGATAAGTGACCTGCATGGGATACGAAAAACAACCATACTGTCTAACCTGAAATATCTCTATCCAAATTCAGAAAGAGTGCAAGTTAGTGCTGGGTTAAATTACGATAGGCTATCATTTTATGTATTGTGAAGATACTGAAAAAAATAAGATTTTTTTTAATCATTTAAACTATTGAAGGAAATGTGGATTTTTGGTACTGCAGTGTCAATTTGACAGAACTAGCTTTTCCTATAAAGTTGTAGCATTTATAAAAATCTTGCTTATGACATGATTGTATGACCTTTTAATATTTACTTCTCACTAAACATCAACTATTTTAATGAAAAGTATGAATATTTTATGATAAGGCCATCAAAACTTTTTTTTTAACATTCCAGCACAAAATAAATTTTTTTCTTCTTTTTATTCCTCTTATCCCATCAACATATATGTTGAAATTTATGGAAATAAGATTATTCCACCTACCTACCGACCCAATAATTTTACCCTGAGTCAGGAGAAGGCAAGCAAACATTTTTTAAAGACTGCCCAAACTGCATTTAATTGTATATTTGGATTCCAATTTATATTTTTGGTACGAATGAATGTTACAAACACTTTTTTTTTCAAAAACCTTCAAAATAACAGGTCAATATCAGAGGAGGTGTTTAACCTGAGTAAAATGAACAAGTTTCGTTCACAATAATGTAGTTTGTACATCCTTTAAATTGATGAAAATTTGTACAGTGTCTGAATATACTGTATAAGTAGAATTTTTAGCAAGGATTTAATTTTGACATTATTAGCGAGGGTGCTGACATCGCTAAAATTGAATATCACTAAAAATTAATTGTGTTTTATTTGTAATAGCTTCTTTAGTTAGCATTTCAAAATCGCTAAAGTTACGTTTCGCTAAAAATAAAATACCAGTTCTTATGTAGAAATCGCAGGATGAAATAATTTTAAATTGACAAAATATAAATGTCTAGATTTTGTTCAAATTTTTGCATGCAGCTGAAATTTAATCACTGATATGTGTACCTTTATAGAATACTATTTTAAACAAAAATAGAAACGTGATTTGAAAGATATAGACCCTTTATTGGGGTAGGGGTATCATGTTTACATCCAATTCCTACCCACGCCCCACTCTTTGAAGCCCTTAAAATATACGAGCCAATAATTTTACCCTGATTTTAGAAATCTCTATTTGTAAAAGGAGAGAAGGCAAGCAAACAATTTTTAACGATGACGTAAGAATAAATTCATATGCATGACGGTGCATTTAATTGTACTGCTTCAGATATTCTTTTATTTGAGTCACAGATTAGACACGGATCTACATATGTACAATTTCAAATTACAATAAGATTTTCATATACAAACAATTTTAAATACATGACAGTATACATTTTTTTTTTCAAAAACCTTGAAAATAACAGGTCAATATCAAAGGAGGTGTTTAACCTGAGTAAAATGAATAAGTTTCATCGCACAATAATGTAGTTTGTACATCCTTTAAAGTGATGAAAATTTGTACAGTGTCTGAATATATTTATAAGGGTGATTGCTGCCCAAAAGCAGTTATGTCACATCATCCTTTGCGTCTCTCTAAAATTTCCACTTATACGGTATTTATAAGGGTGAATGCAGAAAAATAGATTTTTTAACATCACAGAAAGTCTATAATATCTTTATATCAATAGAACGTTTACTTACTAAAAACAAATGTTCAATAAGGAATATGCAAATAAAAAATCTGAATAATGGACTTCATGTTTTGACACAAGTCTGGGTATCTGTTTGAAAATCTGGGATAGATATATATTTAGCAAAAAAAGAATTTGAAATCAATTTTAAACAAAATAAACAATGCTTGAATTATATAAATATTATATTGACTGTTGATTTGTTCATTTGTGGACCTTTCAGCTCAGCTGCAGTATATTCTTTTCTCTCACTTAATGATGAAAATGTCAAAATATTTGATGTCTATTATTTTATGACTTAGTAATAAAGATTAAAAAAAGAATTTGCTAGACTCAGCAATGTTACTAATGGGGACTTCTTTATCCCTAGTTTGTGTTCTAGTGAAACTAGGGGGTTTCAAAATTGTCAGTGCTTCTGTTGATCAGCTACAGCTTTTGATTACCAGAATTAATGGGAATAGGAAATGGCCATTATGCAATGTCAAAGTACTTACATTTCTTACTTAATTTGTGCCCTGTAATGCTAGATATTCCTCTGTTCTCAGTGTAGTGCATTGGTATTTGTTTTAAACCAGTTCCACTTCATTAAGATTTTGTGATAGAAATAAGTCTTTCAGCAAGACAATGCCCAGATCATTTTCCTTACTTTTATTGGATTTGGGTTACTTGTTAAAGTTACCTATTTACCTTCGTTGAATAACAACAGCAATGGTAATGATGTATAATGTACACCGCAGTGATACTTGATACAAATAAATCCAATTTAGCAACAGTTATTTCCCCTTTCCTTCTTGAGTAACAGTTATTTCCCTTTCCTCCTTGGACAGTGTTAGGGGGCACTGCAGTGTAATGAAAGGTCCACATGATTGCTGGTGTGTCTTATTTACTCACCAGATTTGCTGACCTGGATTTTTATCTCCTTTCCATATTTTTGTTCCTCCTTCACCCGCTGTTGCCATGGTTCTTCCTCTTTGTAAATTTCATCACCGATTTCTGATTCGTCATCTTCGTTGTCTGGCTGTACGGTTTTGTTCAAATGAACAGGTATGTATAGGTACAATTTACAGCTGAATTTTTTTTTCTTATTATCATTAAAAATATTTTGCCCATACTAATAAGTGTACACAGGTAAAAATAAAATAGAGTGAATGATGCAATTTTACTACAATGTACAACATATTAAAAGGTAAGTTTTGCAGAATGAATACATGCCTGCATGTAGATATACATAAAATATACACATTCCATCTGCATCTCAGATTCCAATATAGAAATAAGGAAATAAAAATAATAAGTACCTTCAATGGACACAGTTCATGTGTTTGGTGTCTTGTCTGACTATGGTGTACAAGTATACAGATAAAGGACTGACCAATTCATTATCTTGCCTTATCTTTCCCCCTCTTTCTCTGAATCACCACAAATGCCATTTTCCCACCTATAGCTTTTAGTTAAACTAAAAATTGAGATAAAAACACCATGAATATGTAACATAAAAATATATGTACATTGAAGTGAATCAGGGAATATTAGGAATATCTTCAATGCCTGATACCACCCTGTGAATTTAGGTCATGGAATCATTATGATAAAGCCATATTGTCCATTTTGCAAGGGATTGGACTTACTTGATCAGAAATATGTATAAGAATTCAAAGGAAAATAATAATTCCACATCTAGCATGGATTCTTTAAATGTTGAAAAAGAGGCCATAGAGAAAATGGAGGGATGTGGTGATTTACATAAGAGAATAAAACTTGTTCCTTCTGATGCCGAGGAAAGAAGACAACAGGTAACGTCTGGGCAGAGATTAAGAACTCTCAAAGTCAAGCTGTATTATTTCTACCAGTATAGTTGAAAAATATGTTTGAATGGTCCAGTTGATCAGATTGTTACTATTATGGTAGCTTTAGCCATATCTTTTACTGCTTGATGGATTTTTTTTTCGTACTTGTTCTCAATTTGTTTCATGTTTAATTAATCTGCTGGAAACGTAATTTTAGAAACCATGGTTTACATTTTGATAAACGTAAAAAGGAGATGGGTGAACATGACGAGAGATAAGCCCATAGTGCAACAAACATGAAGGTGAAAAATTAAATCTCAATTTCATCAAAATTTTCCTTATTATTTAATCTAACATTAAAGTATACTTTATGTAAAATCTCTACAACTTGCACAGATCTCATGAAAATTGAAGTTATTTGCCTATGAAATATGATACACACACAAAAGAGGACAAAACGAGTCATTTTTTCACACTATAACACTATTTTTCGGTATGAGTGGGTCTTCTCTCCATTTTTTTGAAAGGTAATCCTCAAAGTCTGCATAAAAACATACATATTTTGGTTTCCAAAATTATGGAGCAATGACCCACTATACCTAACAAATATAAGTTTATGACAAAACTTTCGTATCTTTTTGAGAAATACTTGAAGTCCCTTAAGTCAATGGTCATATCACAAACATGATTTAAATGCCACACTTCATCAGGACTTGTGTAGCGTAGTGGTTAACGTGCTAGTCTCAATAGAAAATGCAACTCAGGATTTTTATTGCCAGGGTTCGAACCCAATGGATACAACATTATTTTTCTTGATAAAAGAATAAATTTTAACGAAAAATTTTCCCCAGAACTTTTTGCTTATCGTGATTTTACAAAAATCAATGATGAGAACTTTACTCTAAATACTAAAATAACAATTTGAATATGATTTTGATATATCTGAAGCTTGTGGGTTTTTTGCACGCTAAGTTCACCCATCTCCTTTATGTTGATTTTGTAATTTCCACATTTGTTTCCAGTTCCCCAAGGCTTCAGAATGGTAAATGTATTTAATAGACAATACAAATAGATAGTATTGCATCATACAGATGTACTAAGACAGACCACACATTAGTACTTATAGAACCACTTCACCTGTAGACAACTAGTCTCATGATGCAATATCATGAACATTTTATCAAAATACTCCAAAGCAGTGTTACAGTCAGTCAACCCAGTGTTCTAAATTGGTCGGTAAAGGAAGTAGCAGCATGTTAATGGGGCCCATAGTCTAGGATTATGTCTTTACTGAATGAGATTACAAGAACACCTCCACTCTTATGCTTTGGTCGAGTGAGGAATGGGCTTTTTTTAATCGTTAATCACTCATGCAGCATGCAGATCAGAAGGATATTATTAGTGCCTGGCATCCTGAATATACCATGATAAGAATGAATACATGTTTTACTTTAGAAGACTGGTTTTATCAGATATTAATTGGTCTTCTTTTAGATCAGTGAAGAGGTGGCCAAGTTGTTAGAGCTGAAAGCCAAGCTTGGAGATGATTCACAGAAGTCTAAATTTGTCCTCAAATGTCCCAAGGTAAGGATTGTCAGATCTAGTCACTGTCAGTCACTGTCTGATGTGTTCCACAAAATAAAAAAATTGATTTTATTCATTAAAAAGATTGTCAAATGAAGAATAGAATTATCTTATAAACTCAAAAGATGAACCATTATTACAAAGTGATATAATATTTTGAAAGAAGCAAAGTACTTTAGATTATGTTGAAAATGAACTTCATTTAGGACTCATTGTTCCTTTTCGATGAGTTTATCAGCTGAGATACAATTTTACTTCTCTTTTAGGGGACAAGGGACTACAACCCCCAGCAGATGGCCATCAGGGAGGGGGTATTTAACACGATAATCAAGTGTTTCAAACGTCACGGGGCTGAAACAATCGACACACCTGTGTTTGAGCTTAAGGTATTTATAAGATTGAGACAAAGGGCTGTCTTGAGAGTCAATACATTTGATAAGTTTCAACTGTGTTCATTGTGTTGTATAAGAAATAAGTTTATTTACAGAATCAGAAAGTATTTACATGTATTTGACAATATTTACTACATGTACTAATTTGAAAAATAAATCTTTGCAGGAAACACTGACAGGAAAATATGGAGAAGACTCGAAGCTGATTTATGATTTAAAGGACCAAGGGGGAGAACTCTTATCCCTACGATATGATCTAACGGTATTCTTAAATCTTAAGAGAGAAATGCATGTACTGATCAACTGTTAAATACCACTAAACAAGTCTTTATTTACCGGTTATTTTTTTTCTTTGCAAAGAATGCTGGAAAAAAATTCACATGTTAAAATGTTCCTTGATTTTAACAGGTTCCTTTTGCAAGATATCTAGCAATGAATAAGATTCAGAATGTAAAACGTTATCACATCGCCAAAGTGTACCGCCGAGACAACCCAGCCATGACAAGAGGCAGATTTAGAGAATTCTACCAATGTGTAAGATTTGTTTTTCACAATACATTACAATGCATTCAATTTTGAAATTTGTTTTTGGATGAAATAAAAAATTAGGGGTCAAAAACAATAACTTTCTTTGGGAAGAGAAATTCAGAAGGTCAAATGATGAAATGAAAATATGTCTGGTTTTGAAATTTAATGTAAAGAAGATGAAATATTGATATTGTTTGTTTTACTGTTTCAGGATTTTGACATTGCTGGTCAGTATGATGCTATGATTCCTGACGCTGAGTGTGTAAAAATTGTGTCAGAAATCTTGACTCAGCTGGACCTCGGGGACTATGTTATAAAGGTAAAGGGTTACAGGCCTTAGTAAATCCTATTCAGTAAATATTCAAATTACAGTAAAGCTTGCTCTCTGAAGAAATATTTCAAATATTTTCTCATATAAGCAGTGATTGGGATAAGCATGCGCCCTGCGCCATAGTCGCATTAAATTTTAAAATGTCACATTAAAATTAAAAACGCCGCGCCATCGTGGCGCATATAATGCACTGCATACTTTTAAACTTTGAGCTTTCCCCCATGCGCTTGTAGTCTTTCCCATAACAATCACTGTCAATTTACGCTTGAAATAAAAACAGTATTTTATGTCGTTCAGTTAAAGCGTTCGTATGACTTTCTTTTCTCCAGTATCTAATCAAACAGTGACGTGTTTTCTGATTGGCTAACGGGCACGAAATAAACTGGTGTCATGAGTGCAGCATGCTGCTTAAGAAAATACCTCGTACCGATAAAGGACAGACTTTTCTTAATTTTCACAATCCTAAGAAACAGAATTTAAGTAAATCGCTACAAAATGACTCGGAAGAAGTATAACATGCTGACAGAACGAATGGACATAAATCTGACGATAGGAAAAACCAAAACGAATATTTAACATGAATTGGAGGGAAGCAGTATAGATCTAAACCAGACTTTAAATCATTTTAAAGATGTCAAACATCGGAGACAAAAAATAAAGAATTGAAATTAAATTGCAGTGTTTATTTATTTTCTGACACTTGTGAATTTAAATATACTAAATTGTATCTTTTAATGTCGTCATTCAATAATTTGACAGTTTCAATTAAGTAAAGTCAACTGAAATTCTAACAGCAAGTAATTAATTGCAAGTTTGTAACTAGGAAATGTCCCATTAAAAAGTCTGTTTGGCGCGTTGAATTTTGAAATGTCACATTCACAATGACTTGGAGTGCGCCATTGTCACATTTACTCCCTAGCTTATCCCAATCACTGATATAAGTCTACAAGAAGTACGGTAAAACATAATATAGAAAAATTACTTTTTTGTGTGCAAGTTCAAAATCAATGTACACTTGTTATAGATCAACCACAGAAAGTTTCTGGACGGAATGTTTGCCGCATGCGGTGTCCCAGATGACAAGTTCCGGGGAGCGTGTTCTGCGGTGGACAAACTAGATAAGGTATATATAAACAGGAATGTCACAGTCATTTATGATGTTGTAAGGCATTCACTGTTTGTGACATCAAATGAAAAATAATTACTTTTACCTTTTGACCCCCATTTATGTTATAAATTAAATGAAGCTTTCGACACACTTTATAAGGAAAAATTCAAATGAAAGATATTGTTATCTAAAGAATTTATTGATGTAATGAAGACTTGCTCACATATCTGTTTTAAAAATATGTATGACATACAGTATCTTCTTTATTATATAAGCAAATATGTTTTATGTGCTCTACGATTGACTTTAATGAACTTTTTTGCAGACATTTTGGGAAGATGTCAGAAATGAGATGATCCATGAAAAAGGCATTGATCCCATTGCTGTAGATAAAATTGGAAAATTTGTGGAATTGAAAGGTAAGAAAAAAGTAAGTTAACTGTAAAGGCTTCATTTTGCATTAGGAAAAAATTTTTATCATATAACGTTGAATACTTGCACATTATTTAGAGGCTTGATATTTTCTAATAGGATATATTCACTAAGAGAGAATTTGACAATACACATATATAGGATGCTGATCTTTGAACTTCAATCATTTTTAGGTAGAGTAGATCTGATCGACAAACTTCTACAGGACGAGTCAATAAAAGCACAGAAATCAGCCGTGGAAGGCCTAGAAGATTTACGACTACTGCTTAAATACCTAGATTTATATGGAATAACAGACAAGGTGTGTTCTGAAGGACTGTATAGGCAATAATCAAATTCCTGGTTACGATGGGAACAAATAAAAGCGTTTATAACTTGTATCCATAATTGAGGCTTAAATTAACCTTATATGTTTTAATTTGCAGGTTATATTTGACCTGAGTTTGGCTAGAGGACTTGATTATTACACTGGTGTCATTTATGAGGCAATTTTACAGGGTGAGCAATAAGTGTTGTGAGCCATAACTTTTGTAATAGTCAATTTGGATTCATACGTTGTAAATGTAATTTCCTCTATTGTTTTCTCTTTCTTTTTATGCTCAAATTATAATTTATATGAGTAAATTTTATTTTGGTCTATGATGCACATATTATTATTTATATCTTAAAATTTTATATTTTCTTGTTTGTCAGGTTTTGCCCACTCGCCTAAGTCTGTCGACGGAGATGAGAGTGTCAGTGTGGGCAGTGTGGCAGGAGGAGGCAGGTATGATGGACTCGTCGGAATATTTGACGCCAAAGGCAAGAAAGTTCCCTGTGTAGGCGTCAGTATTGGGGTGGAGAGGGTCTTCGCAATCATGGAATCTAGAGCTCAGGTGAGCTATTAAATTCTGTTATATTCTTGAAAGAAAAATTTCTAAAGGATCATGATATTGTTGGAGTTCTGTCAGTTTCATGTAAGTTTTGGTATTTTTCTGAAGGCTTCAAACACTAGGACCAGAACAACAGAGACAGATGTTTACGTTGTTTCAGCTCAGAAAAATTTAGTGGAGGAGAGAATGAAGATTTGTAAGGAATTGTGGGATGCAGATATCAAGGTATGTGATGCAAAATAAGAGTTGTCTCCCACAAAGTTTATCCTTGACCAATTTAGAATTTTTGTGAAGTTTTAATGATATGTTTGCACTACTCATGTTGATAATTATCATCTTACCCATTTTTCCTATCTATAAGTATGTGAAGAGTACAAATTATTTTCCAGACTGAGCAATCCTACAAGAGGAACCCTAAGGCCCTGGACCAGTTTCAGTATTGTGAAACCAACTGTATCCCAATAGCAATAATTATAGGAGGATCTGAAATAGAGCAAAAGGTCGTGACCCTCAGGATAGTGGGCACCAGAGAAGAGGTAAGAAGGAAAGGAATATTATAGAGGGGGAGAGGGGAGGTATGGAAGATAGGGATAGATTTGGTGGTGGATGGGCAAAGAGGAGATATTGAGGGAGGATGTCAATGTAAAATTAAAGGGGGGGGGGGGGGCGATAAGAATTGGGAAAAGGTAAATGAGTTGATTTTGCGAGAAGGTTGAGCAGAGAGGAGGAATGAAGATAAGAGAATTTCAGAGAAGGGAGGGAATGGATAGAGTTGTTTAAGAAGAGTTAAGTGTAGAATTCTGTTCAGTACAGAGAAAGAACAATGATGAAAAATGGAACATTTAAGTGAATTGACACTAACTGAGGATTGACATACACATTAATTTGACGTGCACTGAAGTAAATTGTATCTTTATTTTTCAGAGAACGGTCCCTAGAGAGAAGATGATAGAAGAAATTAAATCGGTCCTATCAAATTTGAATTGAAAATTACATTACTTTTAATGACAGACATTTATTTATTTTCAACAAGGACTATGTACTGTTTCAAGTACATTTTGTGTTTATCTATGTGTCCGAGATGATTCAAAGTTACCAGTCTTGTAATTCAATAATCATGATTTTTCAAGGACTATGAAACCTAATTAATTACCAGAGCAACACAACAAATTAAAGTAGTCAATGTTAAAAAAAATTCTGAAATTTCTAATAAAAAATTTTTAAATTCATAAATTTTTCTGTTATTAGCTCACCTGAGCTGAAAGCTCAATTGAGCTTTCCTGATCAAAGGTCAAAGGGAGTTTAAGTTGTTAAAATGAAGAGTCGATCCCCTTTACAGTCGGATATAATCAAGAAAATACAAAAATAGAGATGGGCCATTAAAAAAAAATCTTTCCAACAAGAACCACATGGCTAAAAAAAGCTGAAACTTATGAAGAGGCATCCTGGGGTAGTGTAGATTCTAAATTGTTCAAATCATGATCCCCTGGAAGGGGTGGGGCCGTGATTTAGAATCCAATTTTTACCTTGAAACATTTTGGAAAAATCTGGGCCAGAATAGATAAAACTTGTATGGAAGCATCATGTGGAACTCCAAAGTGTAAATTCTATGTCGTTCGAATCATGACCCCTGGTATATAGTGGGGCCACAAATAAGTATTACAAGGAGGAAAATCTAGCGAAGAACAGCAGCGCGAAAGTTACTCAGGCACATATGGGCCTCTTGTTTTATGTATTGAAGCAATTTCTTTTGGTAAAAACCAGGGCATACTTTGGTGAAGAGAAATATTTGATGATTTGAGAACCCAATTCTTTAAAAAAGTGCATATTAATTCTTAAGAAAACTAATTTCTTACACTGATTGGTAGGGATGGGTATCGCCAAAAATTTCGTATCGTGATATATCACGATTTTTTCCCAGAATATCACGATAATATCATGATATTTTAACAAGCAATTTTTACAATGATTTTAAATGAAAAGTCATTATTTTTTTCTTAAAATATGCTAGAAAAACAAAAATTCACTTTTTTGATCATTATGTACATAAAATTATTTCTGTTTGGATGGTAAAATGCCGTTCTTTTCACCTTTTACAACATTTTTTAGACTTTCTGTAATTGTAATTTGAAAGATGGAACAAATAAATGAATAATTTCTGGACTTTATAATATGTACCTACATACCGGTATTTAGGTCTCCGTATCACGATACGTATCACGCAACAAAAAATCGCGATATACCGGTATACCGATAAAATCTCACATCCCTACTGATTGGATAACATTTAACAAGTTGTAGATATGGTATTGTCGGATATCCACCTTGTCTATAACTTTGGTATCCGACAATGTAATTATAAAGGATTGAAAGTTGATCAGTGTGATGAATCAGACCAGGAAAAGTAAGCATTAGTAAGCAAAAGTAAGTTCATTATATTTCTGTATTTTTTACCCATACCAAACCATGCTCATGAGCAGCTCATGTTGATCAGTGTGATGAATCAGACCAGGAAAAGTAAGCATTAGTAAGCAAAAGTAAGTTCATTATATTTCTGTATTTTTTATATAACCTATATGTTTTTGCTTTTTCCAAGGATATATTTTTGTCATTTTAATATTCCCTCGGTTTTGCTTATGAACTTTTTTTTTGGGGGGGGGGGGGTCTCTTTGAAAAATCATCAAGATAACAACATTTGATTTAAATTAAAATTTTAATTTTAGATATACATTACATATGTACTAAATTAAGTAAATTAAGAATTAAAAAAACTAAATCCGGAGGACCAAGGAAGAATTAAAAACTTTATTTGAAGGGGGGCTACAGTGCATTATTCCTCATTATCAGATGAAGGAAACGCAAATATCCAATTGTTTACTATTGTACACTGTAAACTGGTTAATTTATTGAAAGCACCACGCATCTCTATTCTGTTCCTTATCAGGACTTGGTGAAATTTATTCCGGATATTTACCGCGTTTGACTTGAATATTTTGATTATCAACCTCTAGATCACAAAGGTGCTTTAAATTATATTCCTTTTAAAATCAACAGTAAGCGTTTAACAGAGTCAGTTTGTTGCTCATAACAACGAGCAAAGCTGAAAAGATGTCAGGTTTACCACGAGAAGTGTTGAAATGGATTCAGAGTTTAGATTTGACATGGCAAATTAAGCAGCCAAAGTGGTAAGATGTTTGACGTATAGATTTACGTGTTTTTGCTCTTTCAAACTCCATTACTTTATCACAAGGCACTCGCTAGAATTGTTTTAGTGTCAGTGACAGCGGACACTAGTGTTAAACTTATACTTATGGTTCTTGTGGACTTTGCTTTATATGACTGACACCGTCGTCAATGCTGCCCAAATGACCAGCTTAGTCGAATTTCGGTTGAGTTTAAGCCCTGTATTCTTTCTCTACACATATAAATTGGCTTAATTAAGTTAATTAATTATAGCGAGCGCAGCGAGCGTCGCGAAGCGACGCTCGCGAAGCGAGCTCAATAGACTAACGTGTAAGAACAGAGGAAATTCGGATTGAAATCTGTACATACGTCAGCCAAATTTCTCTGTGCAACATTCCCAGAATTCCTGCACTACCCAATGTCCTTTGCGCGAATATTGCCGAATAAATAAATAAATAATAACGTAATGCATATATCAGGCTTTCAGTTTGTAGAAATCTTTCAAAGAAACAAGAAATAACTCTGCAATGTCTTTCGACAAAATTGCACTAGTTCTATAGTTTCAAACAGACGCTCGGCTGTCTCCGTAAGCTCCGACGAGCTTTGTGACGTCGTATGACGTCACAGCTAGTTGAGATGTCTCGTGCGGCTTGACGTTCGAAGTGGCTGATCTGAAGTGTTTTTGATGGTACAACTGCGCTCGCCCCAACGGTCACACCGTAAAACATATTAAGGATATCTCATTTGATATCATGAAATAAAATTAGATGCTTGAATCATAAGCTTTTCTTGAAAACATTGAATTGGAATTATTTCTACTTTATTGTTGAAATCATTCATTTCAACAAACTATATGTTGACAGAATGCAAAAATGTTTCTAATTCATTTTTTTTTTCAATTACAGGGATTTGACAAATGGCTACCTAATTGCTGAAATTTTCTCATGGTATTTCCCCCAAGACATTCAGATGCACTCTTATAACAATGGAACTTCATTAGATTCAAAACAAAAGAATTGGAGCCTTTTGAAATTGGTATGAATGGCTATAACAATAATTTTTTTAGAATGCACTTTACCAGTACGGCCGCCATTTTGATTCTAGATCCGCGCGTGAGAGTGCGCGGCGTAAAAACTTAGCAACGTATTGATCAACTATGATGGGCGATGCCATTTTGTTGTGTAAGAAACTCTCGAAGCGAGAAAAAAGATATCTAAATGGGTTTTCGCTTTTTTAAGCGGGGGTGTGGGGGCGGCAGCCCCCACTACGTAAAAATAAATAAAACAAACTTACCTTAGTCGTTAGATAAATCTTTATCAATATATGAACACAGTAGTTTAAAGTACATGTATGTATGTAATGTAAAATTAACAATATTCCTAGGAATGACGGTGAATGATTGTAAAGTATCCAGTGTTTTGCGGCATTACGTAAAAATTAAAACAAACTTAGATAAACTCGGGGCCATACGTATGTGTCACTATACAAAACCATTGTGTCTTTTTTTGATGAGTTGTAAATACGTTTTTATGGGTGATGAAGGAGATAAACGTCAATTTTTAATTATAGCTACTATAGTGCATTCTTGTTTTAGTAGAGATTTCCTATATAACTGCATTCCATGTGGTCTCAATGATTGTAATAAGTGTTTTGCAAATTGAAATAGATAAATTTTAGTTTAAATCCAGGATTTACTGCAGCTCTGTTTCCAGAAATCTAAGATGTGTCTCTTACGTTTCATTTTTCTTAATACTGCCGATTGCTGTTTCTCGAAACAAGACCGTCCTCACTGCATGTTTACAAGTTTTGCCCCTCCACTTAATCAACATTTCCATGAACTAAGGATCACATTTATCGCTTAAATTTCCAAAAATTCTAGAATGTTGCAGTCAGTCAATTAAAAATATCCATTCATAGAAAACACAACACAAATCATCTTAAATAAGGTGCATGATGAATCACTGTTTACAATCAAATAGAGTGGAAGTCAAACTTTCTATTTCACGTCACCTACCCTGACCAATCACAGTGAAATAAGTCACGTGCTTAACAACGTCACGACTTTGGAATGTGGCCGACAAAATGAAAGCCAAAGGTTTGTTTTGAAAGTGCTTTTAGTTTTAATTAATAACTTCGTTAATTAAACGAAGTTTATTAACATGAAAAATGACGAGGAATTCAAAAAATAGGTTATTTTTGCATTTTATTGCCTTTTCAGCGAAATCGTCACGCTGACGCGTGACTCTCTTATAGAGAAAGAGCACGTGCTATTTCCATGTTATTTGGACGTACCGGTAAAGTGCAGTTGTCCCAATTTTTGTTATTTAAAAAAGTTTTATTTCATTCCATTACTAGTCAAGGGTTTCCTGTCCAAACTGCAACCATGCATACATATACAACAATATAATTTGATTTATTTTTAAAGATAAAGCAACCAGTAAAAATGACAATGAATTGCTCTGATATAATTCATAGAACCCCTCAGAATGAAATAATTCTTTGATTTGTTTTATAGTTTATTAACCGACATAAGTTGGACATTCCGGAGGAGCTGATAGAGGGGACGATCCATTGTAAGGAGGGGGCAGCCCCCGCCCTGTGTGAGAGGATCTATGAGTTACTGACCAACAGAAAGTGGGTATCAGTCAGGTGTGTGTGGAGCTGGTGCACCGTTGTCGTCAGTCAAGGAGATGCATGATCAGTCAAAATTTTATTTTTATTCTTAATTATTGAGGAGTATTAGGAATAAAAGAGTTTTAAAATGTTATTAAATTGAGAATTCTGTAAAATATGAAAACTAAGTACATGTATGGTCATGCAACATCTTGACTTGTCTTGTTCATGCATATATGGAAACGGTATTCACCATAACGTCATAATTAGTAACATTTTAAACATAGCATAACTTTCATGATGTAAGATTTTGCTAGATTTACCTGTTTTGCCAGTACAGCTAGTACAAATTGTGATAAAATGTACATTTTTAGAGTACATTCATACACTGATGCATATTCACTTTGTGTTTGACATGGATTTGTTTTTGTCTGATT